TAGATGACCCCAGCTAGATGCCTATCTAATCTCCTCTTGAAGACCCGCAGGGTAGGGGAGAGCACCACCTCCCTTGGGAGCCTGTTCCAGACCTTGGCCACTCGAACTGTGAAGAAGTTCTTCCTAATGTCCAATCTAAATCTGCTCTCTGCTCGCTTGTGGCCATTATTTCTTGTAATCCCCAGGGGCGCCTTGGTGAATAAATACTCACCAATTCCCTTCTGTGTCCCCGTGATGAACTTATAGGCAGCCACAAGGTCGCCTCTCAACCTTCTCTTGTGGAGGCTGAATAGATCCAGCTTCTCTAGTCTCTCCTCGTAGGGCTTGGTCTGTAGGCCCTTAACCATACGAGTGGCCCTTCTCTGAACCCTCTCCAGGTGATCCGCATCCCTCTTGAAGTGCGGCGCCCAGAATTGCACGATTCTCCCCTTCCCCTCTGCGCAGAGGCATGTCCCCGCTTCTCCCTCCACCGCCCCCACTCACCATCGTTGCTGTCCTCGGCTGCATCAGGATGGGGAGCTCCAGAGTTGCTTCTGCCCTGTCCCAACAGGTCCTGCGGGGAGCCAGGCTCAGCCAGGGACAGTGGCAGTGGTGGCAGTAGGCAGGTTTGTCCTCCCTTCCTGGTCCCCTGGGTGTTTCTTGTCAGCCCAGGAGCAGGCTCAGAGAGGGGGAACCTGCCTGCTGCTGCTGTCCCCTGCTGACCCTGCCCAGCCATGCAGTCCAGCTGGAGCAGGGCAAGAGCAGCTCTGGGGCCTCCTCCCCATAGCCTTAGGGCAGCCAGGGCACACAGGAACAGCAAGAGCAGCAGCACCAGGTTGGGTAGGTGGGTAAGGGGAGGGGAGGGGAAGGGAGGGAGGGACCGAGAGGGGTAAGGGGAAGACTATTACCTGATTGTGGGACTTTAAAAAATCCCTGCCTGATGCTCCTGCAGGGCAGTCTGCCTGCCCCAGTGGTGGGGTGGAGGTGGGGGGAAGCTAGGAGCAGGGGTGCAGCCATCCCTGCAGCAGTCAGTACCCCTACACCCCCCTTAACAAAATCCTGGATCTGCCCCTGGGTATGATGGCAACCCCCTCTATACAAGAGTTTAATGTATAAAGTAATTTCCTGTATATCATCATTTCTGGTGCTGTCGCTTTACATTAAGGCGAGACTTCCGGTGCCATCCTTCTCATCTCATCCACGAGTCTTTTTAACAGAAGGCAGGGCTGACTTGCTGCTGGCCTCTAACATAATGTTTTGTTGTTTGCAGGGAGCAGCTGCAGATGATGGCAGATTGAAGCGTGGCGATCAAATTTTAGCAGTTAATGGAGAAGCTCTGGAAGGTGTTACTCATGAACAAGCTGTAGCTATTCTGAAACGCCAGAAAGGAACTGTAACATTAACAGTGTTATCATGAATCTCATTGAACTTGCAGAGATGAATGCAATTATTTTAGAACATTGGTAGAGCTGCTGTAATAATGTACAGTCCTGAGTGAGATGAAAAGCAAACTTCAGCTAAGATTATCATATTTGTATCCCATTGCCTGAATGGGTTGTATATAGCTATGGTTTCATTTAGTCTTATAAATGAAGCGTACTGGTCAGTAATTTTTTTTCCTATTACTTCTCAGATATCTTGTCACTTCTGTTTTCTCTCAACAAGGTTAACTTAGAAAACTTTAATAAGTATCATACTTACAAAAATATCAGTCTATCCCAGACCAATCCCTAGTATAACTGCAGAAGCTGGAATTAACAACCAACACACAAAAGAGAATTTAGAATATTGTTTGATCTCATCTGATGAGCAGAAATAAATGCTAAGTGACTTGTCATCTCGCTCATGATTTACTTATGCTAATTGTCCCTTCAAGTATGCCAGAAAACATTAGCAATGTAATTAAATTACCACTGTTCCAAATGATGAAATATCAAATTCTCCTCTGGGAAATTATTTGTGCTCTGCACAGTAAGTCTGATAGTCAAATGCTAAGTTCTCATAGCTATCTCTCTGGATAGGTCTAGGGAAGTTAGTCAGTGATAATTAAGATGATATGTCAATTTGAAGCCTTTAACTTTGGGGGAAAACTGGAGGAAAACTGTCTTTTTCCATCTTTTAGAATCTCTCTCCAAGTCTTTTACTATATTCATGCAAAGTGAGCAACATGTTTTATTCTGTTCTAATTAAATGTTTATAGAGCAAGAGCTGTTTGGGCTGAGATGTTCTGTTACAGTGCAGCTGTAATTGTGCTGAGTTGCAGCACTAGTGTCCATAATTTTAATTGTACAAAGGCCAAAGTTTGACTCAATAATGTGATATTCTAATTCAGCGGGCATGAAAGCTAGTGAGTTATCATCCCCCTGCACTGTGATTCCCAGCAGCACTGAGGACTAAATGAAGGCAGCCTGAACCAGTGAACCATTTGCAAGCTTCCAGCAGCCCGCATGGTGTCAGCTTGTGTGAGAAGGAACCTTTGCTTTATCCTAAAGGACAGTTCTTCATCCAGCAAGCCTGTACTTCAGATTGCTAAAGTCTGTTTTTGTACAATGCCACTTAGTGATTTAGCAAGTGAACTGGGCAAGCAGATTAGTGGTAATTCAAGCTGTTGTAGTTTAATTGCTCTAACTGCATGAATACTGATGACATGCAGAAAGCAGCTCAGTGTAATATAGATATAATTTATGATGAAGCAGCAAGGAAAGTGAATCTGGAAAAAAGAGGGAGACTATTGAAATCAGCCAGTTTTGTGGGAAATAATTTCTCCATGAATGGAATTCTGCTGGCACGCAGCGTTTTAAGTAACACTAGTAAAAGGTTTGTGTTATAAGTATGGTTTAACTGGAACGTGTATTCTTGTGATTGTATAAAGAAAAGTATAAGGAATAGATAAAGTAAGCAAGATGTGATCAGTTGTCATTGAAAATATTTTCCTTATTTCCTTTAAAATGATATCTAACTATTTGGTAATCACTAAGTGCATTAACCTGTTGGAATATTATGTGGGTATTCCATAAATAGTGCCTGAAAGAGACCTATGTTTTGAAATGGATTTTCATTGGGTTGGTTGATTTGTTAATGTGAAATGTTAGTGAAATCTTATTTATAAAACGCACAAAAATTTGTCCAGCTATACCAATTTGGGGAATTTTTAACAAGTTGTCTTTGATTTCCATGTTATACAAAAGTTACACATACTTAGATGAATCTTGAAGAGGTATCTTGATAATATATTATTTAAGTTGTAACCTAAATCTAAAGAATATTCTGTCTGTCATCAAAAATCCATTAAATGCATTCTTTTTAAATATTGCAACACATAATTAAGTTTTACATGACCATTTTTCATGCTCTTATGCACATACTGTTGATATAAAAATTTAGACTTTATGGGCTGAGATATTTGCACTTCTCATTGCTCAGATTGGAGATAACACTATTGCTTCATGTAATTTGCACTTTTTCTCTGTGTTAAGTATGTTACTGCCAAAAATTGCATTGCATTGCAACTAATTGATAAACCAGTGACCATGTGGAAAAGCAAGTGCTGTATATAAAGGACCAAGTTACATAATCAAATTTGCATTGCGCTTGTCTGGGTCTAGGTGTTCTGGTTTGTTTAAAACTTTATCTGTCTCTGTGCAAGGGCAAAAAGCAATGAAACAAATTGACTGTATGTTTATGTATATCAGTAAAATAAGATGTTTTATGACTTCCAAAGATTCTAATTAAAGTTCAATTACATAAGCGGCTGTTCAGCTTTTTTACTTGACGAGAATCCACAGTGAGTCCACATATAATTTGATTGTACCATGTCTAATGTTCCCTGTTGTAAGCAGGGCTCATTACCATACTTCCAGTAGGAGCATGAACTGCTCTAAGGAGGGGACTGAACAGAAAGGTAGTGACAGGCAGCCGAGTCCCTTCATCTCCGTAAACAAATTGCTCTTGGAGTGCAGCTGTCGGAGGGACCGTCTTGTGCACAATCCATTAAAACACAATTTTCTGATTCAAACGATTCTGGAGTATTAAGCAGTTTGTTCTAGCCAAGGAAATCCCACAAAAGCAACCAGGTTGGGAATACAGGGTTCCCGAATGGGCAGCAGAGAAGGAAGAGAAGAGTGAATGGAGGTGAGGACTCAAAGGGGCCCTTCTGGCAGGAGGGGTCAGCGGTCCAAGGGAGCGTTCAGCAGAGGAGCAAGCTACACCAGGGAGGAAACCTGCATGGGTTCCCACAGCCACAAGCTGATCGGAGGTCCTCTTAAAGGAGCCTCAGCTGTAGGGTCACAAAACTCAGTTGTCACTGTTGCTTACTTCCATAAAGAAGGGAATAAGCTGTGATCGGCATGATGCAGTCAATGACAAGCTCAACGGCCCTACTGGTCAGCTCCGATCTGTTTGCATTTTCTAGGCTATCTCCACAAAGAAAAGGGCAGGAGACTCATTACCAAAAAAAAAAAAAAAAAAGAGCTGGTCCCTTCATTTCTGCCTCCACATCACAGGCTGTTTCACCTGTAGGTTTACCAGGTCCCAGAGGAGCAAATTATCTTGTGCTCTGTCCCTGCTGACAACGACTAGCCTCTGTGAGTAGCCGGCACAGCACGAAAGGCTGTTCATGCAGACACACCATCGTGGCACTGGAGGGTAGTCAGCTTCCAGACAGTAAGTTTAACCTGGAATAATAAGAGGATTGTGTCAAATTACACTTCTGTTTGAGGAATAGCTGTAATGCCACTAAATTCCTTGTAATTAATCAAATGGTGATTACCACCAAGGAAGTGTGACATAGAGGGCCTATTGAGGTAATATGATTATGTTGAGATGGAGCAGTTAATGTACCTTTGCCTGAAAGGACTGAAATGAATTAATTTAACATTACACATGTATAAAACATTAGTTTTTACTGTCGTACGGAGAGCATTGATGTATAATTCCATTATCATCTTTCTCCACAGTTTCACACTTCTGTATCCATAATTTAGCTGTATTTACACTATTTAAAACACTGTCAGAGTCATTGTTTTCCTTCTCAGCTGCAAAGAACATCTTGTTAGTATGGACAATCCTGGGCTATCTAGGTTCTTTCCAAAGGAATCAAATGAAACCTTTTGCTGTTCGTGTATCTGAAAAAGAAAGGATCTTTTTCATTTTATCCTAGATCTTGTTCTCCCTGCCCCCCACTCCCCCACCCCACCCCATACACTCAACTGCTTAAACAATACCAATATAGCTGGAGAAATGCTTATATCTGAATAGTTTATTTCTGTACAGGAATTAGAAATAATTTTTTCCTGTACAAAGCACCTTTATTGCTGATGCAATGGTATTCGCATCATGGATTGTACCTTAATATAGTTGTTAAAATGCAGCCCCTAATCAAAACAGTTTTGCCAATAAAAATCTCTTATGTAGGTCAGGTTATTTTCCTGTATTCCTCGCATTGGATAGATAGGGTGGTATTAAATTTCCATGTGCACATGCTGTGCAACGTTCCTACATTACATTTCATATAAACCACTGTTTTCTCCCAGTAAAGAAGAAACTCGGGCTTCTTGCATAGTCTCTGCTCACTGCCACAAACTGGAGTTGGAGAACAAGAGCCTCATATTGTTGTGGGCTTCTTTTTGCCTAAGGAGAATTTACTCTCTCTCTCTCTCTCCCTCCTTTGCTCCAGGAAAAAGTCATTTTTCAAAACGAGCAAAGCTGTCTCTTGATATCTTACCTTTCCCCTATAGCAGTTTGAGAGAGACTGTATAAATGGGGTGGGAGTGTTGGAAGTAGATGAAAGCATGGGAAGACAAAGTCCTGAGGGCGTGCTGCTGGAGAAACGCTGGTTTGTTTGCTTAATTTATGTGATATGAGATGAGCAGTAAATATTAAAATCCATCCAAGGCACCAAATGGTAGAAATCACAAACCACATGCTCACCTTTCTGCCCACCACATGTAGATCCCTGGGCCTGGCAGGTTTGTTTCCATCATGAAAATCAAAGAGATGCAGTTCTGAGTGTCTTCCCTCCTCCCTCCCTCCCTTGCCCTCCTCTTTTTCCCTGCACAGAGCTGATCACAACTCTCACGGGCAAGCCCCGCTTCTGGATATCTGTCCAAAGGCCAGTACCCAATGCCCAGAAAGAAGCTCTGCTCTAAGAATTCATTCTCACTACAGATACCAAGCAGATAGCAGCTTGCAGCTGTTTGCAATGGCTCATACTTGTTTTCAGAAAAAAAATCACAATACAGCAATTCTTGAAAGACTACACTGCCCACTCACTCGAAATGGCATGTAGAGATTGTCATAGCACCATCTGGTGGCTTCCACCGTTCCAGTCCCGAACAGAGCCGCAGACTGGTGCACGTTCCAAAGGATGCATGTAAACACCCGTAGCTCGTGGCTTGTGGTCTAGATAGAGATGCCTTAGTGAGCAACCAAGTTTGCCCATGATCGTTGGTGGTAATGAGGTCTCCGCTTTACCTGAGCAGGTAATGTGAACACTCACGTACCTGGCCGGTCAAGTCTGATGTGACACCTACCCAGGTGTGGAGCAGGTTCGTATCAAATAGCCATGCTGAGAATTTGGGGACCGGCTGCTCCTCTCTCACCGGTCCCACCCAAGGGATGCCTTTACCTTTGGGCGAGTTGCTTCTGATTTATATGGCGGTAACAGGGTCGTGCCCCAAGAGCTGGACCTTTGCAAGGTGAGTGCAGGTCAGTGGAAGGTTATTGTGTGTGGCTCCCCTCCTAGTCAAGCCTGCAGGAAGGAAGAAGCCTTCTGTCAGATCATTGCAACATTTGCAACAGACATTTTGCTGAAGTACAGAGACCGTGGGGCTATTCCCATACACCGATGTGCAGCCAGACCCTGTGGCTGTAGATATCTGCCATCCTGATAGGAAGGGGGCTCTGTGTGATCAAAGCCTAGTGGGCTGCTGGAGATAAGATTCATCCCCTGCCAGCCAGCAGGAAAACTTCCTGAAACCTTTTTCAAGGCGCTGTGGTCTGAGCTGAGGGCAGTTCATAGCAGTGCCAGCCAAGGGTATGTCTCAAGACAATGGTGCAAATAACCCCACATGCTGCATCTCCCATACAGGGAGGGTTTGCTGGAGTTTGCTTTCATGTGTCAAACTCCAGTGCTGCCCTCTGGCAATGCAAACTCTGCTTTCCCCTCCGAACCCACCCCTGAATAGGTGACTATTCTCCATGCCATTCTTATAGATCAGGACTGCCCAACCTGCAGCATGCAAGGGGTTAAGTTGCAGCCCCCATCACTCCT